TGATTGTCTGTAATTTCTAGTTAGGTTCCTCGTGTCTATTGACAAGATAACAGCCTGGTATATTGACAACAAGACAACAAAATGGAGAGTCAAATTGGGTTGGTTATAGAATTTATATTTAGACTGCCTCAATGGTTTAGTGGTTTACACACCGCTTTACTTTCAATAATCGCGGGTTCGATTCCACGCACAAATATTTGTATTCATGAGTGTGATTGTTTGTATTGGCTGGGTCAATGTGCTCCCTTTAATATGGTTGAGTGCAATGATGACTGGCCCATCCGTCATACACGAGAACGGGTGCTGTTTGTGGGGACTGGTCTGTTCAGGTTACACTGATTAGAGTTTTTACTTTTACAATATCATATGCTGGTGGTCACTCTATTCTCCCAAATTTGAATTTAGAATGAATCTGTATTATTGAAACATATACAACATTTATTTAAAAAGAATACGAGTTTCTTGTCAGTTCTTCTCATCTCTAAATCATTCCGAACTGACGGTAGATTTGACATATCATAAGAGTCTGTAATAGACTTATATGAATAAAGATATTTTGAATTTGAATTTGTATCGATCTGGGTATTTCTTATGTATATTATGTATGCATTTACAGAAAAAATATCTATGTATTTGTATCAGTTGTTACTATAAAAATATCCGATGTATTTATATTTATGTTTAGATGGTAGAGACGTATATATACGTCTCTACCATTGGAGTGTCTGTTTCTAATATTGAAATAACCATTTTTTACTACATGCATATGAATATAAATACAATACATACACAAAAATATATTTTTTTAAATTTTTGTCTGTTCCGGCTAATCTCTGAAATAGCTCAACCGATTTTGACGGGACTTCTAGTAGGAGGTTACTGATGTAAGAAGGAGTAACTTAAGCTACTTTTATTTTAGAAAATTTTTTACTTCAGAAAAATAAAGTTGATGTCCACGCGGACGATGTCGCGAGTACAGCTAGTCCAACATAAAAAAAACATACAGCATTACCACTCCGGTCATAGCCCCCTTATTTAGTCTACACTAATGTTTACATGTAACTTCATCGATTTGTAAATTATTTAGACGGTTTTGTTCTCGACCAATTACCTTAGCTATGGGGCGCGTGAAACCATTAGGTTGGAATTAGATTGAAAAGCTACGGAAAAAAATAGTATTAAGACAGTTTTATTAAGACAATTCCGTCAGAACAATCCGCAATATTAAATAATAGCAATAACTCTAATTTTGTGTAAGCGCCATCTAGTCCCAAGCTTGTTTTGTGGATACTAGACAATTGGTAAAAATATTTAATATATTTATAGTCTCGTAAATACATATATAATATACATAGAAAACACCCATAGATACAGTAATAATAATTTCAGAACAATTCACACAGCGCTATCTTGTCCTAAGCTAAGCAGAGCTTGTGTTATTGGTACTAGACAATTGACATATACTTAGATGAATTTTTGTAAATACATACATAATATAGACAGAAAACATCGAGATTAATACAAATCAATACTCGTTTGCACCATGCGAGGAATCGAACATGTGACCATTAGAAGTAGAGCTGTGTGCTAAACAGCTAGACCACCGAATTCTGCCTATTATAATTATTTAAAATTTAGTGTTTCTTTTATTACAACCTGATTAAATGTTATACGGGTACAGAACTAGATAACTGATAAAAATACTTAAATATATTCTCGTAAATACATACAAAATATACATAGAAAACACCCAGATCAAGACTGATACAAACATACATATAAACATCAAATCGAAGCCGCGACCATCGGAAATGAAGCGGTATGCTAAACCGCTAGATCACAAGACTGTCGCACGTATCTATTCATACAATACTCTAGTCAGACATCTCGTATCTACTTGATCGGCTAACAATGCCCAGGATATTGGGTGTTGTTACCGTATTGTACACTCAATGGATCCATTGTACGACTATGTACCATACGTACATAAGGTTAATGACTGGCATAAACTCATTCATGTAGTGTTGATATCTATATGACAAATTAAGAGTAAAAATTACTACATAAAAATCAGCGCTGTATAAATCACAGAGGACGTGTTTACATCAGCAAGAGCTAGGCCAGTATAGGCAGGAAGACAGGATACATAAATTGCATCCAAGTATGTATATCAGTTGTCTAGTACCCATAACATAAGATCTGCTTAGCTTGGGACTAGATGGCACTGTGTGAATTGTTCTGAGATCTATTTAAAGAAAGAAGATAAATCGCGAGTTAAAAATAGTATTATCCCCCGTCCAATTCAAACGGGGATCAAAATTACAACGGCCTGAGCCAAGGGTCGAATTAACGATCAGACTAAGTATCCATCAGGCAGGAGTTGGCCTTCATCCGCTCCATAAGTTCTTCCGCAGGTTTGGATGGCCGTCTACACTCGCCCACTATCGTCCGGTAAAGTTTACTTCAGTAACAGCTAAAGCAGCTCCAAGATAGTATCGAAATTAAGACGGCCTGAGCCGAAGTTCGAACCATATACCCTTCAGAGTAAAGTCGTATTATATCCGTCTGGCGGGAGTTGGCCTTCAGCCACTCCATAAGTCCTTTGCCGAGTTTGGAGTGCCATCTGCACCTGCACCCTATCGTCCGATGAAGCTGTAAAGGCCAACTGCGGCCAACAGCATTGGAATCCTCCGAAAGACAGCTGCTATTGCCAACTTTGTAGCTTTTCTTATGACAAACGTGCATGGCAATAGTAGTACATGCACGGGATTAAATATGTTATATGATATGTTTATGGTATATCTTATATATAAAATTCTCGTGTCACAGTTTTCGTTCACATACTCCTCCGAAACGGCTTGACCGATTCTCATGAAATTTTGTGAGCGTATTGAGTAGGTCTGAGAATCGGCCAACATCCATTTTTCATCCCCCTAAATGTTAGGGGTAGTCCACCCCTAAATTTTATTTTTTATTTTAACAGCTAGTTATATATATATATATTTTATTCATATTTATCTATAGCTTTATATATAGTGTATGTATTTGTATATGTATGTTTACATGTACTTACTTTTATTAAATATATATTATTTATGACATGGGTACTATTTTTCTTATTGATTACATTTGCAGTTTTTCTGCACAACCTGTGTGCAGAAAAACTGTAGGCGGTGCGGTTTGACTGCTAGAAAATGCCGTAAGGCGTAAGTAAATATGTGCTTTTACCTTGGTATTTTGTGCATTGAAGTTATATAAATAAATAAATTTTAATTTAATGTTAGACATAAACACTTATATAAGTAAACAATTCTTCTTCGTACTTCTTGTGATGAGTCAGCTTTCCGAATGAGCGGTAATTAAAAAATGTAATGACTATTCAAAAGTGCTTCAATGTAAGTTTATTTGAATAAATGATTTTCTATTCTATTCTATTCTATTCAATATAAATGAACTGGCTTTTAAAAAAATGGATTTGTGTACTGAACTAGACGGTAGGAAGGAAATATATTAACACAAAAAACTTGTGCTAGAGATCATATCATCACACCAATTTGTTTGTCACAAACTATTCTTATTGTTCCATATGATTCATAACACAGTAACTACCACAATCGGAAACGCCCACAGACCCAGCGGTGACCACTGCCCCTGTACGCGCATTAAATCTTTATTTAAGCAGAAACTGTCAAATTCCATGTCTTTCCGGTTATTAATCATATTGTTGAGATACATATAATATTCGAACCTAGTTATAGTGACTACATATTCGGTTGCAGACGAAGTTATTCGGTCAATTATTATAAAACTATCGTAAGATTTATCGTAGAAAATTAATACGGTAATGTCTATAACAGTGCAGTATGATATATGAAATCTTTCAAGTAATGTTGCCGATTACTTGAATCCACTACATTTGTATCCAAAGTAGCTGTACCCGCGCCGTTCGCGGAATCGGAATAGTAACCTTGATCAAATAAGTAAAAAATATTTAATAATCTAAGTCAAAAAAGCCAAAGAAAAAGTTTTATCATTCTAGCTTCAAAAATGGCGTATTTCCACGTAAAATATCATCCCCTATTTTATTTTACCTACTTAAGGTTAGGTAACATTTCTACAAACTATGAATAACATATTTATTTATATTTAATCAACAGCCACAAAATTGGTTTCAAGTTGCTAGCCTAAAAATGATGATACTTCCGTATAACCCTTCTTCTCCCCTTTCAACCCTTTCTCCTTATTTATATTTAATCAATAACTTAAAAAATAAGTAATTTCATCTCTCTTTTCAACTTCTTACAACCCTTTTTTTTGCATTAAAAAGTAGCCTATGTCCTTTTTGAGGATCTAGACTCTGTGTACCAAATTTCATCGAATCGCTTTAGGAGTTTTGGCGTGAAAGCGGGACAGACAGACGATAGAGAGTTAGTTACTTTCGCATTTGTTATATCAGTAAGAATTTCGTATCTGTGTTCGTTTAGAAGAAGAATTCTTCCTGTCTTCCTCACATCGGATAAATAGCAGCCTTTGAGCGTACGCTATTTCACAAGAGAATCGGCTTTTACGCCTATATGTGTGACTCGCTGTTCCCGCGACTTCGTCCGCGTGGAATTGAACTTTTGTTTTTATACTTTAAACGATTTTTTCTAAAATAAAAGGAGCCTAAGTTACTCCTTACTACATCAGCTACCTGCCAAAGAAAGTCCCGTCAAAATCGGTCCAACCATTTCAGAGATTAGCCGGAACAAACAGACCGACAGACAGCTAGACAAAAATTATAAAAAATGTTATTTTGGTGTATGTACCGTATTTATATTCATATGGATATAGTAAAAAACGGTTATTTCAATATTACAAACAGACACTACAATTTTATTTATACGTATAGATATATATAGATGAATTGTGTGTGTGTGTGTATGAGAGAGGGTGTGTATTAAATTAAAAGTGTAATTGCGTATTATTGGTATCATATATATGAATGATCTTTGTTGCAGCGTGACGCGGAGCCGGAGGGAGAATCCGCTGGTGGTGTCTACCAGGACGAGGACGACAGTCTGCGGTGTGGCTGGGGCAGTTTGCGACCCAAATGGCTGCAAAGGTTCCGGACCGCCAAGTGGGCGCTCTTCTGGCTGTGCTGGGCTGGCGCCATACAGGGTAAGTTTATGTTCTTTTGTCTGGATGATGATGGAATTCTGCTCCCGAGTTTAGTAATGGTGTACACCGGTATACCTGTGAAAAATAGGATTAGATTGAAGTCAGAAATTATGAGTGTATTACTATATTCTTTCTCAATTACATTATGATTTATTTTGATTGAGTGTCTAAAATTTTTAAGTGAAGCCGGGGCGGATTACGGAAGATAATGGAATGGTGCACTCGCCTGCGCTAACGGTATACGCTGGCGGTGCACTAGTGGAGGATGATAAGATGAACATGAGGTCAGGTCAGTTAGTCTATCGTGTCAAATTCACAAGAACCTCATGCTTATCACCACTGGTACCTTGCCTGCATAAACCGTTAGTGCAGGCAGGTGCACCATTACGTTATTATCCATAAATAAAATCATATTTATTATATCATGTTTGGGTTAAAATATTTCTGGATCGCAATAAAGAAATATTATTATTGTAATTTTTTAACAACTTTCTGATGGCAGATGAAATCCGGGTTATAATAAAAAAAATGGCTGAGTAAAAGCATAATAATAGTGGTTGCAGCATGCGTTCGTAATTAATTATTCACGAACAGATTTGCGTTTCACCTTGATAGCAGTTTTACACGTACGTAGGGTTGCCAAACCGTACTCTAAAACAGAGTAGATAGATAGATCATTTTTTATTAACCAATTACAGACACAATACACACATGAGTTACAGGAAAATACAAAAATTAATAAAAGAAATGTAGGTGACTTTACGTGCCGCAAAAGTGAAAAGGCAGCCAACTCGGCATAAAGGTACAGATAAATCTGCAGCGCTGATATTCTATTGGCTCCTTTACTTACATTATATTTAATTAAGAGTATTATACTCTATCTTAGCCCGGAAGACGTCCACTGCTGGACATAGGCCTCCCCCAAAGATCTCCACGACGATCGGTCGTGCGCTGCTCGCATCCAATGCCTTCCAGCAATCTTGACCAGATCGTCGGTCCACCTTGCTGGAGGCATTCCCAGCCTTCCGGGCTGCGATGATGATGATGATGATTGTACTCTATATAATATAGGCGTATTCTATAATCTATAACACTAATTGAGTATGCTAAAATATTCTTTTTTTCTGACTATACTAGTGTCAATGTCAAAAACCATGAAAAGTTACAAAAAAAATACCAGTTTAAAAACATAAAATACATGATACTCTTTGTTTGTATGTGCGTACTCTTTATTTAGTTTCTTCGAAGTTAGATATACTCTATATCTTCTTGTTAAACATACAATGAGAGTCACTGGCAGTTTTTATATTCGTTTATCCATATCTAAATATATATAACTCAAAGGTGACTGACATAGTGATCTATCAACGCACAGCCCAAACCACTGGACGGATCGGGCTGAAATTTGGCAAGCAGGTAGATATTATGACGTAGGCATCCGATAAGAAAGGATTTTAATTAATTCTACCCCCAAGGAGATAAAATAGGGGATGAAAGTTTGTATGAAACTTTGTCAATTTTAAACCGATCGGGCTGAGACTTTGTATACATAAAGCTATTAGGACGTAGGCATCCCCTAAGAAAGTATTTTGATAAATTCCACCCCTAAGAGGATAAATTAGGTGATGAAAGTTTGTATGAAGGTACTGTAAAGCCGCCGAAGGTACTGTAAGAAGTATTATTATTAGGTATAGTTTTTACCTAATAATAATACTTCTTAACGCGAGCGAAGCAGCGAGCAAAAGCTAGTGTAAAATATGAGAATTCTTTTTATACAATTGTTTTATTATTACTTCTGTCATTGCGCTCTGCTATAATAAACGTCTATACACGCATCTCTATTCTCTATTTTTATTCATTTTCGACTCTTCTAAATATGAGCTGACAACCCTACGCGAACGGTATCTGGTATTGTTACACGATACCGCATATTACATGCATATTACTTGCACGATGTCATTTATATGAAATTATTCGAATAATAGAAACTAGAAACCGATGAAAGATATTTTCAACCAAATGATAATAATGATTGGTGCAATTATATTTTCAGTGTTCTTTCTGGAAGTTTCAGTGTTGTTTCTAACTTATACCTATTGTTACTGGAGCGGGAACATAACTACTATTTTAATAAAAACCAAATACTAGTAAAAATGTGTATTCTTCCCAAAAGGGCTTACAGCGAGAAGTAACAAAACAATATTAGTTCGTCAAAAGTGACATAAAAATAGATACAAAAAATATTAAGTTTATAAAAAGAATGGTAGACAAGCTGCCAGTAACACCTATTGTATTAATATGTATTTTGAGTTATTTATCTATTACCTACAAATAAAAAAAAAAGTTTGTTTAGTTTGTAATTTTAAATTGACAGTTTTTCACTAAGTTAATATGAAAGTGGAATTAGAATAAAATAAATAATTTAAAAACATTTTATCTACCCGTCAGTTTGTTCTTGATTATCTCTGAAATTGCTGGATCGACTTTCACAGGACTTTCGCTCGCAGATAGCTAATATTATAAGGAGTAACTTAGGCTATGTTTATTTTAGAAATTTTATTTATTTTGATTAAATATATACATGGTGACCTAGAGATAGCTTTTAATTATTTAGTCTCATTAGAATAAGCCAAAGAAAAAGTTTCATCGTTCTAGCTTCAAATTTTACGAATTTACATGAATGGTTTTATTTCTTATTTTGTTTTACCCCCATAAGTGTAAAATTTTACAACCTTAAACTGTCATATTTATTTATTCAACAGCCAAAAAAATAAGTTTCAAGCTTCCAGCTTTAAAATAACCTGGACAATTAACATAGCGCCATCTCACCACTGTAAACAGAGCTTGTGTTATAGGTATCTACTAGACAAGTGATATAAATACTTAACAATTAACAATTTTTTTGGAAACAAATAATATTCATAGAAAATAACCAGATCGATACAAATAATCATACCCGCGACCATCGGAAATAAAGCGGTGTGCTAAATCACTAGACCACCGAGGCTGTCAAAAAATGACGATACTCCCACACTATTAGTTACTATCGCATTTATAATATTAATACGGATATGTATATAGGTATTGTAGACATTCACTATGACTGATTTCCTCTTATTAATTGTTTAACCAGTTGGTTATATATTCAATATTTTTTCTATTTGAGTATTTAATAGAATTAGTGCTAATTGGTGGTTTGTATTCACACACTTAAACTTAAAAATGTAAAGTAATAATAAAATTATTTAAAAGAGCAACACGCAAGTTTCTTGCTCGTTCATCTTGTGATGAGACAGCTTTCCGAACGAGCGGTAGATTAAAAAATGTAATGACTATTCAAAAGTGCTTCAATGTAAGTTTATTTGAATAAATGATTTTCTATTCTATTCTATTCTATTCTATTCTATTCCCCTATGCCCTACACCCCACAATCAGTTTAGCGAACAAATCGACGTGCAAATCTAGTTAGCCACCCTCCGGAAGGTCTAGTTTGTGTTTTTTGTATGAATTATTGGATTTTATTATTTCATTAACCCTTCCGTGTGTTTGTTCAGGTCTTAAATGTACCCTTCTTGATGGAACTCAAGTGTTTGGACAGCACGGGCGCAGAATTAAGTTAATAAATTATGTTCCCCACGAGATGAGTAAAGATGGGAATAAATATACACATTAAAAGGCGGAAGGAATTTGTTTCGAACTAGCTAGAGCCGCGGAGTTGTCTGCGTTAGATACAGCTTAGCCGCTAATTATGAAGCTATTTTAAATTTTTTAAAGATAGAGTTGAATTTCCTATTTGGAAAATATACATTATAACATTTTAAATAACCTCTAAAAAAAAGAAAGAATGAATAAAAAGGAGAGTAATAATTATTTAAACCGTTTCTGAGATTTGTTCGCAAAAACAGACAGAAAATCTAACAACTACGTTTGAATACGTTGATGAAGAAGTTTATATATAGGTACCTATATATAAAAGTCCTTATGTTTATAACTTTTTCTAATATCTTCTTTCTACACCTACATCTATTTTTATTATATGTTAAGATAAGTGAATGAATATTGTAGAAGCCTAGGTGGTTTAGCGGTTTAGCACACCACCTTTCTTCCAATTGTCATGGGTTCCATTCATCGCACGATATCTCAGACCTACTGAATATTCACAGAAAATTTCATAAGAATCTGTGTAGCCGTTTCGGAGGTTTTTTTTTTTTATGGATCATAATGGAATGGTGCACCCGCCTGCGCTAACGGTTTACGCTGGCGGGGCACCAGTGGAGGATGACAAGATGAGCATGAGGTCAGGTCAGTTAGCCAATCGTGACAAATTTACCAGGAATTTATCGCGATTGTTTCCAGGGGAAACCGCGTGGAGGTTAACCTGACATGGAACATTGCTAGTAATGAGATTATGAGTCCACATTACTAACAATTCCCTCCCCCCCTTCGGAGGAGGTTTGTTACAACTGTGACAGTAGAATTCTATATATTAGATCAAAATAAGTCCATTAGAGATACTGTTAACGGTAGAATACATCGGGATAAGATTATAAGCGACGTTAATGGAGTTTGGTATAATTTCCCGTGGGAGATCCCGCCGCGGGATCGCGATAGCACTGCATTCATCGTCCGGACCACTCCGCTATTGGGTGTTACCTTTCCAACTAGAAAATAGTATACGTTTGCTATTACTATGTAATATTATATTATCTGTGCTATTACCATTTGTGTAAGAATAGAGTTCCTGAAAATATTTGATATCTGTATCATTACATAGTATAAAGTCGCTGTCGTTATCTGTCCGTCTCTATGTATGCTTAAATCTTTAATACTACGCAACGGATTTTGAAGCGGATTTTTTTATTGATAGAGTGATTCAAGAGGAAGGTTTATATGTATAATATATGTACACCCGTGCGAAGCCGGGGCGAGCAGCTGTAAGAGAGAGAAAAAATTTTATGACTATATTTATTGAAGCTTTTCACATATATAGATAGAAGTATTTAGTGTTGTGTTACCTTCCTAACTCGAAAATAGTATACGTCTATGAACCATAGTGTAAAAAGAGAGTTCCTGAAAATATTTGATATCTATATTTATTGATAAAGCTTTTTATCTATCTATCTAAATAGATAGGATCCCAAAAGCCTTTGGTTCGCGAGTTTGAATTAAATAATACTAAATTTAAAACTATTATTACCAAATAGTACTAATATCTCGATTTTTACTGTACTTGGGAAATCCAAAATATAAAAAAAAAAGAATTTTAGGGGTGGACAACCCTTTATTGGAATATGAAAAATAGATAGTATCCGATTTTCAGACCTACTGACTATGTAGATATATAAAATCTCATAAAAATCAATCAAGTCATTTCGGTGGAGTGTAGTAACTAACATTGTGACCTAAGAATTTTACATATAAGATGAGAGTTGGATTTTCATAGGTTTGTAAGTTTAGTAGGTAGGTATTTTAACTTTTTATGTACATGTAATTTTTTACACAGAAAACATCCAGACCGATACAAACAATTATAATCATGAATACAAATGTTTGCAGCATGCGAAGAATCGAACCCGCGACTTCAGTTGTAAACCACTAGATCATCGAGGCCGTGATAACTCATATCATAGTAAACCAACCCGCTCACCCCTAACATCCCCCTCATAATCGGATATTAGTATAAATACTGGCGGCGCTAAATTTTATAAGCCCCTGATTTGTGGTATTGCACCCTTTGAGGATGCCTCATTTCGTTTATTGCAATATTCGCTAATATTCATTACGCTCCCCCTCCATGGTACTGTACGCAGTACTTAATAAACGATAATTGCGTCGTTACAATATTAAATTCATATCTGTTAATTAATAAGGATTTTAAAGGTTATTTATTACTTTAATGCTGACGTTAAGTTTGTAAAAATATCGTTGCGCGGGATTCTCTATTGAAATAAGCCAGGATGTGGAGAAACACCCAGACCGATACAAGCAATCATAGTCATGAATACAAATATTTGTACCGAACGAGGAGCCGAACACGCGACCTTCGGAAGTAAGGCGGTAAAACGTGTAATCTAGAAATTATTTAGATAGGAATGTCTGAAACTTCTGATGTTATTAAATTATTACATAGTGTAGAATAAAGTCGCTGTCGCTGTCTGTCCGTCGCTATGTACCATATGCTTAAATCTTTAAAACTATGCAACGGATTTTGAAGCGGTTTATTTTAATAGATAGAGTGATTCAAGAGGAAGGTTTATATATATAACACATCTACACCCGTGCGAAGCCGGAGCGAGTAGCTAGTATTAAAAATAATAGAAAATTCTTTATTAAAATAAACTGAAATTTAAGCACTTTTGCATAGTTCTACTTATATTATTTTAATCTACCGCTCGGAAAGCTGTCTCATCTCAAGAAGAACGAAGAAGAAACTTGCATGTTACTCTTTTAAAGAATACTTCTAACATTACATTTTGAAATGTGTGAATACACACTACCAATTAGCACTAATTCATTCATCATCATCATCATCATCATCGCAGCCCGGAAGTCATCCACTGCTGGACATAGGCCTCCCCCAAAGATCTCCACGACGATCGGTCCTGCGCTGCTCGCATCCAATGCCTTCCAGCGATCTTGACCAGGTCATCGGTCCACCTTGCTGAAGCCTTCCCACGCTGCATCTACGTCCACGCCACTTGAGGACTTTATTGCCCCAACGGCCTTCTGTCCAACGAGCTATGTGCCCAGCCCATTGCATTAATTCATTAGGGTCAAAATATTAAATACACAATAATTTACTTAAGTAACTAAATAATATTAAATCAGTCGTGAAGAATACAAATACACAACATTTACTAAAGGCTTCGCAGTAATATTACCTGTTGTTGCAATTCGGGGCCATAACTCGTGCGCGGCTGCGAGTTAACGTGGATTTATGGACAAAGTAACTTTGGTAACACCCTGTATTAGCGGAGCAACATATTTTACTCATATTTCGACCACTATCAACGACTGTATTGTATTATTTACTAACGACTTACCCCGGCTGTGCTTAGGGCGAATTTGTAGGGATGTCAATTGTTTTTTAAATTAATATACGGCTATATTAGCACTAATTCATTCATCATCATCATCGGCCTTATTACGGCCTCAGAAGTCAGGGACTTCATAAATTATTTGTAAAAGATATGTAAGAAATAAATTATTATTATTATTCATCTGTAGTTTTTTAAGGGATGATACGGTATATATTAGCGTGGAACCAGTTGAGGATGATAAGATGAGCATGACGTCATGTCAGTTAGTCCATCGTGGCAAATTCACCAGGAATTTATGACGATGGTTTCAAGGGGAACCCGTGTGGAGGCAACCTGACGTGGTACATTGCTAGAAATAGGGTTATTAATCCACATTACTAACAATACCCTACCCTCAACATCCTGTATAAGCGGCGGCAATACATTTTACTCATATATAGACCACTATCAGCTGTATTGTATTATTTGCTAACGGCTGCCAAACTGAAGAGGAAACGCCTCTACACATCCAATGTGGTTATAGCCCATATAATCTCATATAATATCTGCTTTGGAAAGTTTACACTCTATCCTGAGGTGATAAAATCGCTCCTAAGAATCTTTAATTTTTGTCCCTGAAGGGTCTAGGTAGATTATTAAAATTACTAATATTATTAATGACCGTGAAAGTTTGTGAGTATGGATGGATGTTAAACTTTATTTTCATTAAACTTTACTGTAATATAGCTCATATCTCAGAATAACATATAGTATATTTAATGTGGATGAAACTGTGGACACAGTTATATATAAATAAAATAAACATATTGAATGAATATAAATATATGAATAATAATAATGTTCTCGTTGTATGAGAGACAAAAATACTGGTCTGCTTATTATAGAAATTGCATCAAAGCACTCTATATAGATTGGTTTCGTTTCCGTAAAACAAATTAATATAAAAGCCCGAATACTCAATGACAGTTTAGAATTCATTTTCGTCTATATGTCACGTGATGGCCAAGTATTTATGGCATGAGTGTCTCCGGGATCATAACGGGTCTTATTGCATCATATTCGGCAGTTGCAATAATGCGAGGCTGCGGTCCAGCGTCTTACGGGGCCATTCACTAGGATTACCAACTGTGCCGATTTTTTTTTTCTTTTTGACAATTCACACACCACCATTTAGATCCAAGTTAAGCTAGCTAAAGCTTGTGTTATCGGTACTAGATAACTGATACAAATACATAGATATTTTTTTCGTAAATACATACATATTATACATAGAAAACACCCAGACGGATACAAACAATCATACTCATGAGTACAAATGTTTGTGCCGTGCGAGGAATCGAACCCGCGACCATCGGACGTAAAGCGGTGTGCTAGACCGCTAGACCACCGAGGTCGTCGATTTAATTGGGATGTCCCGATTTACGACCCACATGTCCCGTGTCCGAGGGTTTGGTGTCCCACCAAATGTCCGACTTTCAACATGTGTGTATATATTTCTTTTAATGGATGATAATGGAAGGGTTTACGCTGCTCGAAAAGTTTACGCTGGCAGGGCACCATCTTGATAGATGAACATTCAGGTCACTTAGCCCATCGTGATAAATTTACCAGGTATCGTGACGGTTACCAAGGA